CGTTGGCATCGGCGGATCCGAGAACTTCTACAGGTCCGTGGCACAGCGGCCCTCGCGGCGTGGCGGTTAAGGCGAGGCGCTTGCCAGCAGGCCTCGGCGTGGAGGCGGCTTCGAAAACCGAGATTTGGGATCGGGCATGGTGGTTTGGGAGCTGGGAAAGGGGATGTGGGGGTCCAGCGATAGGGTTCTAGGGTCTTCAAATCGGGGTCTGATGTTCTGGTTTATGTTCCGGTATTATGGGAGCTGAATCTGGATATAGGGGACCTGGGGTCTGGGTTTCAGATCTGGGGGTTGTGAGGTGTTCCATGATTGTGCTCTTTAGTCTGGGGGTAGTGGTTTGAAGAGAGTGTGAGGGTCAGAACTCTGGGAATAGGGTCCTGGGGAGAGGATATAGAGGTTCGTGGTCCGGTGAGGAGTGGAGGGGGTGTAACTGGGGACGAGGTGCTCGGGGTCTCGGGTCCGGTGATAGGGATTTTGCGACTGAGGATGGTCCAAGGTGTGGAAATACGAGTCTGGGGACTGATGAGTAGGTTTATGGAAATACGAATAATTGTCTGAGGAAAGGGATCACTGTTTGGGGGGTGTAGGCTCGAGCTATTGGGGATATGAATGTGTGACTGAGATGGGCAACTGTAGTCATGGAGGTACAGTAGTTAATTGAAGTCTGGCCTTACCTTGAGCTGTTTTTATCCAAGGGCCAGAATTGGGTCTTCCTAAAGTGTTATTATTATTAGTCCTTGTCTGGCACCATTAATAGGGTTCCAATTAGTGTTTTTTTTCTGAATCATTGATATTATTAAACGTTGTTTCTGAACAGGCCGAAGTAGCGCAATGTAATTACTTCGTTCAGCTTCTTTGGTTCTTTCGGTAAAGTCACGTAGAATGAGAATAAAATAATAAATTGATAAAATAAAATGACGATAAAATTCTCACGACGTTTCGGCCACAACACAAGCGGCCTTCATCAGGTGAAGGGACGAGACTGTCTGGAGGACTGTCCGGATTTTATTGTCATTTTATTTTATCAATTTATTATTTTATTCTCATTCTACGTGACTTTGCCGAAAGAACCAAAGAAGATGAATCCTTGCAGTCACGAAAGCTTTAAATCGAAATTTACTTCGTTCAGTTCAATATCTTTCAAAAGCAGTCGCACTGGCCCGAGTATATGTTGAGCCACGCATAAACCAAATTTGAGTTGGAATAATACGCCATTCGAATTGTAATATTTTTTTTAATCAGCGATTTATGCTAAATGGAATTCGGTGTTTGAGACGTTTTGAGCACTAATAAAATGCTCCCAGTGAGTTGTGCAACTTCAGTGAGTCACACGGCGACCAGTAGTAATGTACCAGTAATAATGGTATGTTGTTTACCCACCTTGTTGTTGGGTTCATAGGCGTCGCTGGCCGTCACACGAGGTGAGTTGCCCGAGGGTTATTACGTAGGTTTAGATCAAAGATCATTACGCGAACACGGTACAGTACAATATATTAAACTCGGCCAGTAGTGGATAACGAAAAAATGTCGGTGTAGTTTATATTGTCACCTTGACCTATTGGCTATTGATTTTAACTTAACTGAACATTGGATATGTTTTGAGGCAAGCTTGTATTTCCTTTTTTGTCCAGAATTAAACACTACAAGTTAAATTGTGATCTTCAGTCTTTTATTTCCACGTGCTTCCACAACCGCAGTACGATTTAAACGTACTGGAAGTAAAGGCAAGGTAGTTGAGTAACACATTTTATTGCCAGAATATACAACCAACGTACAGTTACAGTATAGGCATCTGATAATCTCACCAGCCTGTGTAGCTATCAATATAGACTACAGTAAGAATTTACATTGCTTTGACACTCCCACATCCACATACTAGTACCATAAGTTGACGGTATATTTGGTACTCTAATTGAAGGAAATTGATGTCTGGGTTAAAGGGTGCAAACAAGTTTTCAATGCCATCTGTGTTCTGCAGTGTATTCGAGGGTGAGCTTTCGGAGACCATCCCTGTCGTCCATGCCTCCATCGCCGGCTGCAGGATAATTGGACGCATGTGTGTAGGTAAGGATGAGATTTGTGTCAGTTACCAAAACTCATTACTGTACTTTATTACCAATTCTGGAAAATGTATACGGATCTACACCGAAACTAAATGAGGAATGACATTTCTAAAGCCCACATCGAGTAAATATGAATCCTGTTTGTAATTCACTTTATATGGTTCCACCATTAATTGTTCTTTACAGGCAACAGGCATGGACTTCTGGTGCCCAACAACACGACAGACCAGGAGCTTCAGCACCTGCGGAACTCGCTGCCCGACGGCATGATGATCCAGCGCATAGAAGAACGCCTCTCGGCACTTGGAAATGTTGTTGCGTGCAATGACTACGTCGCCCTCGTGCATCCCGACTTGGACAGGGTGTGTTCGTGTCCCTTGATAATCCAAGGGCATAAAGATGCACAATTGTCAAAAATCTTACCTGGATATGCGAGTAGTTAGTATCTCTTAAAAGGTTGTATTTTTTCCATAACTTTTTACATGATTTATTCATATGTAATTATGTGCTTGTAATATATACAACTGATGGATATACTTTTTCAAGAGTGACCTGGAAAATGTATGTTCTGTGTATACAACACACTCTTTGCTTGGCTTAACTTAAATCTAGTTTGCAGGCTCAGACATCCTTCGTTAAATTTCGATTTAAAGCTTTCGTTACTGCAATGATTCATCTTCTTTGGTTCTTTCGGTAAAGTCACGTAGAATGAGAATAAAATAATAAATTGATAAAATAAAATAACAATAATATTCTCACGACGTTTCGGCCGCTTGTGTTGTGGCCGAAACGTCGTGAGAATATTGTTATTTTATCAATTTATTATTTTATTCTCATTCTACGTGACTTTACCGAAAGAACCAAAGAAGATCCTTCGTTAAGTTTAATACTTTCAGCCCATTTCACGCTTGCATGCTTGCAGTACAGATTCTCCCCCTCTCCTTCACCCCCTCTCATTTGTCCAACACCACCTCGATTAAATCTTCCACCCTTTACTGACCACTTAGGGATTTGGAATTGGTATATAGCACAAAGGCAGGTAGTGCAGATCTTCCACACATCGGATATTGTTTAAAAGACTTCGTGTTGTGACTGTCCACTTGTTCATTGCAGGAAACAGAAGATATTCTGGCAGACGTCCTCAAGGTGGAGGTCTTCCGACAAACAGTGGCGGAGCAGGTGCTCGTGGGCAGCTACTGCACCTTCAGCAATCAGGGTGGCCTGGTACATCCGCGCACCACCATCGAGGACCAGGATGAACTTTCCTCACTCCTGCAAGTGCCCCTAGTGGTGGGTTTCCTCGCAATGTCATCATCAGCCATGATCAGTCCACTCCTGATGAAATCCTCTTATCTTACAAATGTATGCTGTATTTTTTCGTTATGTTATTGTTTATCATTACGTTGTTTAATGTTTCTATTTTAATGTACATATTGATACGAAATGCAAGGTTTTGGCCAATTTCTCGTTTACTGTCCCCAAGTCTCCCTTAAAAAAATTAAATTGCTCTGACCTGGTTTATATATCGTGGAAAGGCAAGTCATGTGTGTCTTTCAGGCAGGAACTGTTAATCGTGGCAGTGAAGTAATTGCGGGTGGAATGGTGGTGAACGACTGGTGTGCATTCTGCGGGCTGGACACAACAAGCACAGAGCTGTCGGTTATCGAGAGCATCTTTAAGCTGAATGAGGCACAGCCCAGCGCCATCGCCACCACAATGAGAGATTCACTCATTGACAGGTGCGTAAAGTTAGCTTGTAGTTTTCCACTGCTTGATAAAAGCCTCTCCCAATTAATTCCATTTCTCAGTTATTGCCCGGCAGTGGCCTCAATTAATTTAATCTTGACATCTCTTCTGCTGTCTTCCTCTGGTTGCCTTCTCTCTCCACTTAAAAATTGTCCATCCCTTGTCAACTCAGTATGTGGCCTGCCTATTTCCACTTTTTTTCACAAAAGCTTCATTGACCACTGTTCTTTTTCCACATTCATGCCTTGATCCAACTTTTCGATATACTCCTAAAATTATCCTTTACAAAAATCTTTGGAAAACTTTTATATTTTGCTTGTGCATGTTATATATAGCTTCAGTATAACCTTTACTGTGACGTTAATGATGATGTTTCTCTTTTTTCAGCCTTGCATAGAAGAACATTTCTGCCATGACATAAAACTACCAAGACATTAAGTGAACTAAATTCTTTCACAAGGTCTTAAAAAAACCTCCATGTACAGATCTTGCTTAAAGCTAAACACAGCACATTTACTTTGGCTGGTTAAGCCTGGTTAGGGATAATGGATACATTTTATTGGAATGCATTTCTCCATTAAATAGCATATTATTTTCTTTCATAGTTGTACGTTGCATCATTGTGTGTACAATTGTGACTGTAAATAAAAAAAGGAAATCTTTATAACCTTTTACGTTTGCGCCTCATATTTTGTAATTGTTTTTAATCCACCAACCAGTAGAGTTATTACACGTCATTGATGTTAATGTGTCATAAAATGTTCCGGAACAGATGTCTGGGTTGCCAATGAAGTGTTAGTACACAGCTGCACTCGAAGTTACTTTGTAATGTAGGGTTCTAGTGAAATAGCGGAAGGAAACCCGGTATTGCATGTAACTATTACAATAAAAGTGCTGCAGCAAATGTAATGACCTGTGTTAAGTAGATGTGTAATGATTAAGCCCATCAATTCATGGTCACTTTGTTTCAGAAATATATTTTTTCTATTAATATAGCATCCCTCGTGGAAGCAGTTCAGAGAATCCATTACAAATCAGTTCTCGCGTGTATGATTCAATTGTGAGCAAAGTACTGTAATCCATTTTAGTCTCCATTGTAAACACGGGTTATAACTTAAATGTTGGTCTTCCATAGGCGTTAACTATAATTTAAAAAATATACCAGTGCAAAATTAAGACAACTCATTCAGGATGTTTTCAACGTATGTTTAATGCATTAGGCAAAACAATGTTAAAACAACAATGTATTTTTAACAACTTGTGCATTCAATATTAAATGCAGCTATTCAAACTGGGTTTTGCCGTTGGGTTAGTTTGTCCAGACGTTGGTGCATTGCGCAATGACCCTGGCAATCACACGTCCAGTACACAGATGAGCCCTGGCTAATATTGGTGAGGAATGCCATCTGCATAGGTCTGGGGCAATTTTTGTATCGACCCACACTGACCACGCTGGTATAGCAAAACAACCCCCATGACTAGGTGTGGATAGGCCCTCTTCCACCAGTCAATTAACGACTAATGCATACCAGAATGTCATCTAAAAACACTATCATTGTGCATTCCCACCATTCTCAGCAGGGTTGTCAACTTTTCATAGCATACAATACAATATTCTTTGGGTCTTTCAGAAAAGTCACAGATTCAAAGAAAATAAACTACGACGTTGCGATCGAAACGTTTTTATTTTCTTTGAACCTATCTTTGACTTTACTGAAAGACTCAAAGAATATGAATTCCTGCAGTCACGAAAGCTTTAAGTCAAGATACAATACAATGTTTTCACATTGCAATAAGTGTTCCATAGCTTTGTAATTGTAATTCTCAATTGTATATTATTGTACATTTGATTAGAACGGTTGACTACATATGGTGCGAGACGTTCACACATTCCAGTTCAAATAAAGATTACCCAAATAATTCAACTGCACTTCAAGTCTGACAAGTCTTCAAATCAATGCACTTTTACAATTATGCCATAAATTACTCCAGAAATCATTTAACATAATTTAATCGGCAATAGCTCTTTATTGAAATAGAACCAACTTGAAAAAAAACTGAGGAAGAATAGACCTGTTCCACAAAGACCTGCTCGGCCCTCCACGAATTCGTCTTGAGATCCCAGAAATCAATCTGAGATCGTCCAAGATGAAGCAGGGTCAACTGAAGACTGCTGGCAGTCACGATTGAGTTCTCCTGAGCTTCCTTATGAAAGCCTCAGGATTGTGGCAACCATGTGCCTCGGTATCATTTAGATGTGGGTTATTGAGAAAAATGGTTAACTGGCTAGTGGTAAGCAATTTAAGCTCTTTCACCAATAAGCGTAGTGTTTTATATATATAAAAATATAACATTTACCATCCATTTCAGATGCAATGATATTAACCAGTTTTTTGTGAAACGTGACGTGTACATTTTAGCTGAATGTTTATAGATGTTAATCTCCCACACTTATAATTCCATAGACCATTGTACATTCATTACAATAATGAGCCTAAATAAAGTTTTAAGTGTAACTATACTAGTCTTTTCAGTTGCAAAATACCAATTATCATAGGTACAATTATAGGTACAGTAAAGCAATGACAGGATAATTATACAACTGATATTGCTTTGTACAAAAATCTTGTCACGATACCATTGAACACAATCCACTAATGGATGTAAAGCTACTTTAAAGTGGATAAAGCAAATGGTATGGCCAATAAATTGCAACTACAGACACGTGTTTTATTAAACGACTTATCAAGGTTTTGTAAAAATATGCACTTTTGTAACAAGGCATATTAAATTCAGAATTATCACATTTTCATACCATTGACATAGGCACACTCAGCCACACTCAATCCAATTGAAATGCAGTGTATTAAGAATACACGCAATTTACATTCTTGTGACCACTTTTATGACTTCCAAATTAAGCATTACAAAACTTATATGAAAATGTAAAGAATCCCACTATGAAAACAAAGCTGCTGAAAGGAATTGTTATTCTGAAAACTGTTAATGGCCACGTGTTTCACTCTTTTTGGAGATCATCAATGCAGTGTAGCTGTGCAAAGTTTGGCAACTGTAACGATGGGAAACATCAGTTGCTATGTCACCAGTTGGAATGTGACAAACGCACAATAGGAAAAAATATTGGTCACATTAACTTTAAAACATATCTTCCACCGAAAGAGTAATTATATTTAGCAAACAAATGGAGAGAAAAAAAGACCTAATGTACACTGTAAACAATATAGCCCATATAAATGAAAACCGTTAATGTATAATCTGTCTGGAACTCAATATTTGATACCCTTAACCATGACTACCTCATCTGGCTTTGTGCTGCGAATAATTAAATGTTGCTCTTTAAAAGCAGCACATGTCACTTTGAGGTGCCTTACCTGCCTCTCAAGATTCAGAAATATTTTAAGGCAGTCATTTTATTCCTTTAAACTATAATTCACACCCTTTTTTGTTTTTAGTGACACAATACATCCTAATTGAGGTTTGTTGCCAAAACGACTCGCTGTTGGCCGTCTTTTGTCTCAATTATATAACCTTTAATCCCTGTTGCATTTACTACACACGCACTTTCCGATTAGCATGGTTGACTACGTAGGGTGCAAAAGAAGTAAAACATACGCAATTATATTCTTAGTTTTTTCGGTAAAGTCACGTTGAAGAGAAACAACAAAATAACAAAATATATATAAAACAATAAAAAATTCTCACGACGTTTCGACCATAACTCAAACGGTCATCATCAGGTGTGTCGGTTTGCATAAATTTATTTTGAAAACGGCATATTTATTTATATATATAAAAATAACGTTTGCGTCACGCGCAACGATGGCAGTTTGCCAGGACTAGTCCATCTGATTCCGGACATACAATACCCTGGTGTCTACAAACTAAGTTGCCTCTGTGGTAGTAGTTACATTGGAGAAACCAAACGCCATATCTCGGACCGCATTCGTGAACATAAAGCAGACCTTAAACACGGTAGGACCAACACCTCGGCCGTAGCAGATCATTGTTCTAATTCAGTAGGCTCACATGCCATTGACTTTTCCAAGACGGAGGTTCTTTGTAAGCCATCTGGCTTCCATGAGAGATTCGTTCATGAGGCTATCCACATATACAAACACAGAGACAATTTCAACCGAGAAGATGGATTCTATCTTAGCAATCATTGGAAAGATTTGATAAATCATTTCAGTTCTTGATTGATTGTTCACGCTTACAGTGCCTTTCAGACAGCATACATAAAAACAAATTTCGTCTCCCCCCTCCTCTTTTCAAAAAAAAAAATAGATGGACTAGTCCTGGCAAACTGCCATCGTTGCGCGTGACGCAAACGTTATTTTTATATATATAAATAAATATGCCGTTTTCAAAATAAATTTATGCAAACCGACACACCTGATGATGACCGTTTGAGTTATGGTCGAAACGTCGTGAGAATTTTTTATTGTTTTATATATATTTTGTTATTTTGTTGTTTCTCTTCAACGTGACTTTACCGAAAAAACTAAGAATATGAATTACTGCAGTCACGAAAGCTTTAAATCAAAATTTATACGCAATTATTTAAATATTTAATAAATGATAATGTATGTTAATACAGATCATTTTATAAATGCCATAAAGACAGTGTCAATGTCATTTTTTTGCCTTGGCCATGTGCCTACGACATAAACGTACGAACTGTTCCTCTAACGACTGCACGGCAGATGGGGCACTTGCGCAGGGAGGAGGCGCAGTCTCGACACACCACGAGATGGCCGCACGGTATAAACACAACGGATACTTCCTTGTCCATGCAAACCTTGCATGTGTGCTGTTCCTGTAGCCGCTTGAGCTCCTCTTCCGGCGGTAGCGCTACCATGGAGAGCACACACGCACACACTTTCAGTTTTTCAAAAACTACGGTTGATCATGAAGAGCCTACATACATATTAATGGGAACAAGCAGCAACTGTAAAATAATGTGGAATAACACCAACGATCATGTGGGGACATTTCCAATTACAGGGCTACATTGTTGATATAGAAAATATTTAGATGAATTACATAACCATCATAAATGTATTTGTATAATTTTCTGGCATGGAGTATTTACATTCTTCACTTTTCAGTTCCTTTTTCTCAGCAGCAGACTTCTGTTGTTCTGTTGAAGATATATCCACACGGCACGATTAAAATAGGTAATCACAATCATGTTCACATGAAGCGAGCCGAGTACTGTTTTTCAGTATGGTATATTATCTATAATACAATTATGCCTTGACATAACTATGTGATCATCGGAAACATGGCACCTGCTATTATGTGTACCACACAATGACTATACGTATTTTACTCAATTTAATCAGCAAGAACGTTACGGACAATGGAAATTGCAAGGTCGGTCTCTGTTGCTGGGTATTTACCCTGAACGTAATTTGCGGATTTCTTCGGTGATTCTCCTCCTTCTTCTGCATTAAGCACGTCTGTTACGAGCTCAACGACAGAGCTGTATGTCTCCCCCTTAGTGAGGTAGCGAGTGCGCACTAGCGATTCCACCATCGGTGCAAGGAAACCCATCTCAAGCACACCCTTGACCACATCGCTCTTCATCAAGGTCTCATCTGTGCTGCCGATGCCTGTATGCAAAGACGACGTTTGCAAAAACATTCAACCATCGGTGTAAATTGTAGTAGATCAAAAAAACCAACCAATCAACAAGCACTTTAGATAAAGGGTTCAAATGTGTTGTTAGGATAGCCTTATGAGATGCACAAATGTACACATTTTGGCACAAATGAATATAAAAACATGATAATGCTATTGTGTACAAAAATATCACCTTACCATTCCCATTTTGTGCAGCTGCATTCTGTGATCTCTGTCTAAATACCTCACCCTAAAAAAGCAGGATCTTGTCAATTAAAAGCATTTGGATCACTGGTGTTACACAAAGTGGAAAAAAATATAAATGGTACAAGCCATGCTATCTAAAAATAAAAATCACAACTTTGCCTCAATTAAGCATATTGGTAACCAAACCAAATACTTTATATTCTTACCCTGAATGATTTACAGCATTTCTGTTGCATGCTTAGTTTAACTTTAGTCTATTTTGTTTAACAGCTGAGAACTCATTGACCTAGGTCACAAAAATGACAAAAGCAATAACGTAAAATTACATACATCGAAGCAAATATAAATCAGAATCAATAAATTGAAATCAGCGCAAAACAATCACGCATAAAATCTTCAAAATAACAAACAATTCAGATTAAACCCAATCACATAAAATATTTTTTTTAAATACTGTATAAACAAATCTATATGAACTACATGAAACGAAAGTTGGCTCAGACAAATGTATTTTTGATTTAAAGCTTTCGTGACTACAGGGACTTTACCGAAAGAACCAAGAATATCAATGTTTTTTTACTAAATTTAAGACAAACAGGGACTTAATGCAAGTATGTACATTTTATAATACTCATCAAAACAAGTGTACATTACCGTGAGGTCTATCAATTGTGGATGTTGCCTCATTATTTCATTTACGAAAGCTTCACCCTTCTGTTGTAAAAGAAATGCACATCTGTAGAGAAAACAGCATAGATGTCAGCAAAGCAGTCATTTTCGATTCAACATTAAAGTGTGTTCACGTCAGGCCCTTTTTCAGCTCTTGATAGCCATCGTGATACTCGAGTATTTGAAGTGTCCATCTGGATTTAATTTGACCACATAGCAGGTGCCAAATGCATTACCTGGGAAACCACTTGCCATGTTCATACCAAGGGTTATCTCCTTGTTCCCAGTTTCGTAAACCACCGTCACAGTGGAAGCACTTCACATTGTCTCCATGACCTATCCAAAATATTCATGTTATTCCTGTACTACATTTGGCATATTTCAGACACACGCAAACATTTAAGAGCCAACTGAATAAAAATGTAAAAATGAATACAGTTTAACCAGACATTAAACACAATTTCTAGCTTGGCTACCTGTAGCTATTGTTTACACTAATTGCAAAGTCAACACTCATGCTCAGACAATCCTGAAAGTACCATAGTGGGGGGGGGGGAAACACAGACACACATCTGCTGGAGGGATACACAGAAAGTAAAAAGTGTTTTTGCATATTCTATATTCTTCATATTTACTCAATAAATCATGTTTATGCTATGATATGCAGAGTGTATTTTAATACGTTTAAGTTATAGCTATAAATATTTCCTGAGGCACCACTGTTGAGGGGAGTATGCCCTTAGTAATCAAATTAAGGATATGAGTAGAAACATGGGTTTTTTTTAAGGAAATTCCAACTCCTAATGAAGGTCAACTTTAAAAAAATCCAAAGCAGAAGCAGACACAATCAAATATTTAATTTCACTCCGAATCAAAGACACACCCAGCTATTAGATTTCTTCTAATCAGTGACACTGGAAAATATTTTCCAAACACTGTTACTGGCAAAATAAAACGATAAAGATAATTGGGAATAGTATTTGAAATTTTAGATTTGCTAATAAGTCATTATTACAACCATGAATAATAAACTACAGAAAATGTAAATGATTGTTGGATGAACACAACTAGGAATTTTATGAGTATGTAGTATATCTAAAATGGACTGGGATCAAAAAATGAAAGTGACAAGCAGAAGGATGGGATGATTTTGAACTTTTTGTTCATGGAACCAAATATAACCCATATAATTTATATTCAAAGTCTTAATTTACTTAGCTGAATTTACTTGAATATATAGAACTTCACAATACATTATTGCAGTTACTATGGAAATATTGTAATGTATGAAAAAATACTCTATTGCTACTCTTTAACCTTAAAGAACTGAAACAACTACATTTCCTTGTAAAATGGTGAAACTCAATGTTCACTCTGCAACGCAATTTCCTTGTAAAACTGGTCATACTTCCTCACTTCATACCCTTGCTATGGTTACGTTTTTAGCCTTTTATCACAAATACGTCATATAAACTGTTCACAAAGATCACAGAACTGAATATGGTTAATTTAGTGACCAACCATGAGACCAAACTGGTTTAAAAAAAAAAGGTAAGGACCATACATTTACACCTCAGAGAATGTTCTTGCCATACCAGTGTAATAGAAGCCAGCGATCGCGAGTGGCTGTGCAGCTACATTGGCAGTGGAAGGCCAGGCCTGGTAAGTTGCAAGCCGCGCCACCACCGAATGCATTTCTGGATTTCTGGCCCTCGTTGTCCTTGCCATAGATGCAGAACATGCACTATTTTGAGTGTCGGGCAAAAATGAGGCCTGCTAGAAAAGCACCCCAAAAACAACACAATTACTCATCAAATGTAACATTCTTCTTAACGTTCAGTACTTTTTGTCAAGAAATGGCATCTAGAATCAACAAACTACAGGGTGATCCAGTTATAAATACAGTACCCCACTAAATAGTGTGGAGAAATTAGAAACATAATTTCAATATACTTATTAGATCGTTTAACACTCTCCTCTGTAAGATATGGAGGCATGGCTTTCACAATATTCACTGACCTGTTGGGAAGAGAGTTATAAGAAATCAGTAGGTTGTCTAGAATCACAAAGACATGCCCCAAATGTTGTGGTTATTTTGAAAGATAAATGTAAAAGACAAATAAAGGTAGTGACCGTGCCCGGTGCCAATAAAGGTATTGAAATCTGGTTACACATGATTAAAGTGGCCATGGCAGCAATAGAGGTTACATACCTAATTATAAAATGCACCCTCAACGTATTCCTTTTAAGTACAGGAAAGATAGTGCATCTTATAACGCAGAGAATATGGTTATATCTTCTTGGTTCTTTCGGTAAAGTCACGTGACTTTACCGAAAGAACCAAGAAGATGAATCCCTGCAGTCACGAAAGCTTTAAATCGAAAGTATCCACAATACCATTTAGAAACACCCACCTGGGCCTGAGCGAGTGGGATGTTACCGGTGTTGCTGCTGCCCATCGCGAAAGCACAGGTTGAGAAATGTCGCTCATGCTCCTTGGCAGGGACATCTCCCTCCTCCCAGTCACGCATTACGCCGGAACAATAGAAGCAGGCCACCCGGTCGTTGGGACCCACGTAATACAGTCCGGCCCGTGCCAAGTCCGCAGGCCGAACAGGAGATGACTCTGGCCATGTGGAGAATGACAGCAGCCTGTTCGCTTCGACACACATCTCTGAATTCGATGGTACTCCTGCCTCCACATTTGGCAAGGAAGTTAGAGTGTTTTGCATAGGTGGTTCGTTCATGCCAATCGAAGGTGGCAGAGAATGATGATGGGTGATCTCGGATGCATTGTTGGTAGCCGCCACAATATGTCTTGGTACAGATGCTCCACCGGAGGTCTGAGTGTCTGTAGCTTGTGCCAGTGACCGAGCAAATGTACAATTTGGAAAACTCTGCAAATGCTTTGCAATGGCCGAGTCACCTGACTTCCAATTACCGATCACTCCTTTGCACGAGAAGCATTCAACCTTGTCTTCCTTTCCAGTGTAAAAAAATCCAGCTTTGGCCAGATCCCGAATTCGTGGCTCTAAGTTTGATGGGCAATTTACAAACCGGCCAAGGCGATAAATGTGTTTTGAAAGGTCGTCGATGGGAAATGACATGCTTTCTTTCTTCACTTTGAGAACTCCTAAAAATGGAAAACATGTTGTATGAAAGTAATTAAAACATAAAGGTTTTAGTCACTTAAAATATTTTGTTTTGCCGTTAAATCTCTAACTTATAAAAAAAACTTCTCTACAGCAATGGAAAATGTTCCACAAGGTCTGGATGGAAAACTAATTACCAAATGGATTTTGGAGTTATATTTGGTCTGAGAAAAAACGTCACATGGAGGAACTGTTTTTATAAACTGTGTAATTTCAACCTTTCAACACACATTGCTTCCATTGTTGTGGTCATACTAATGTCAGTATCATACACCATAATGACGTTGGTAACGACTAGGGCCAGCAATCGGGGTGGTGCTGGGTTGAATCATGCATCAAAATGTCCCTTTGGCTCACCATGTATGCATGTAAGGCAAATTATCGACTTACGAACACTTTAACTTATGAACCAGATTCCATGAAATATATTTTTTAAACAGACTTAAAACGCGAATTCGCACTTGCAAACAGAACTGCAGAACTATTTAATTCAGCGGAGCGATCCTCCGCGAGATGTAATGACTCAGCCTCACGCGCGCACACGTGTGAAGAGTGTAGCGGTTTGCGCGCTGTGCTTCAAATCCAGCCACCCGAGTTCAATTCCCGCTCATGACCAACACCAGTGACGATTATGTGAATGGGTACTGGACCCCCCCTAGGTTGGCTCAGCCTCAAATAAGTACCTGGTGCGGTGTCACTGCGCAGTCAAAAGTGACCGGGCGTGGTGCTGCCCACTCACCCCCTCGTGTACCATACTCGCCTTCATCGGCACTGCTCGCTAACAGCACTTGCCACAACAGTCTAAGGATATATGGGGCATCGTTGTGTTTTTCACCACCATTGAAGTGTATGTGTGTGCGTGCCGTGTGTGTGCAATTGTCGTGACTCATTACGCCCCTTCCAACAAGCAAGCCAGTATCAGGTAAGTGAAAATATAAAGATTTTTGTTTCAATTTATGTTACTTTATTGTCTGTTTTACTATACAGTATTTATTATATGCAAATGTACAATATTTCTTATTCATGAGCTTAACAATTCTTACATTTTTTGTTGAACCGTAACACATTTCATAGCACTTACCGTATAGACATCTAAAAACAGTACATTATTGTTCCTATTTGCGAACCGTTTGACTTGCGAACGGGTCTCAAGAACGAATTATGTTCGTAAGTCAAGGACTGCTCTATGTTGAACTTCTTTCGCATGGCCCGTATACCACTGTTACGGTGCCCCACACAACAGCTGGATTAGCCAGCCTTATTTGAGGAGCGAGAGGCACTTTACTTATTTTAACCGTGTCCCCAATGCATTACAGTAATAAAAAACTGAGATCAGTAAATATATTCAGTGGTTTGGGTAGGAAATATGCAATTAATTGTAATAGATTTCCAATCCAGTCGCGGTTCGTTCACGAGGGGCATTGGGGCGCCGCCTCAACAAGCACCTGAAGATGAGAAATTATTTTTATACTAAAAATACTTTTCTATAGTTTTATTGTGTTTAAATGTTTTCAAATATGATTCGTTCAACGTGAATTACCTAATGAAGATAACATTTTAAGTTGTTCACATTAGAAACCGCTGCAACACCAAAGTCTGATTTGTGCCTCGGGTAGGTCTCGGGGCAGCTGTGAAGGTGTCCGAGTGAGCGTTTTGCCTTCGTTCATTGCGAGAAGCTTCGCATTTTATCCACGCCATTTGAGACCCATCCAGGGTGGTGAAAATGCGCCCATGGCTGTAATGACGATGTCACAACGTTGGGTTGCACTGTGCAAATATAGCAGGTCCACGGCCTATACGCTGCTCTATGAGGAAACAACAGCAATGGCGATGGCAGCAGGTGCAGCAAACAAAAAATTAGCAACGAATATTGTGCAGTCATTCCTAAATATTCCATTTGAAAGGATGACTATGCAGGAGAAGTTGAATGTCAAGCAACAGGGTCCTGATCAACCGAAAATCGACATCAACCAGCCCTCAGGTGACCGGGGAAAAGCATACGTAAGGACATTCAGCCAAAGCTGGTATGCTAGAAAGGCCTGGCTATGTGGATGTGCAAAACAGAATGCACTTACTCTTTGTTTTTTTCGGTAAAGCCACGTAGGTAACAAAATAAATTAAATAAATGAAAAATAAATTAAATCACAAACAGGGGTGAGTAATGTGATGACGAGGTTTTTCTTAATTAGAACACCATAAATCTTGACTTAAAGCTTTCGTGACTGCAAGAATTCATATTCTTTTGGTCTTTCGGTAAAGTCACGTAGATAGATTAAAAGAAAAGAACAAAATAACTAAAAAACTACGTTTCGATCGCAACACAAGCAGTCGTCATCAGATCGAAACGTCGTAGTTATTTTGTTATTTTCTTTGAACCTATCTACGTGACTTTACCGAAATACCCAAAGAATAAAACACCATATTACGGGTAGGAACCTCCTGGTTACACCAGCCCACAGGGGATTATTGTGTCCGTCCGTCGTGCATCCAAAGATGGGAGGGGTGGGGCTGGGTGGAGAGGGGAGGGTGGAGAGGGGCTGGGTGGGGAGGGACTGGGTGGGGAGGGTGGGGGAGGGGCTGGTCACCCCGTGGTGCCCTTATAAAACTCAACGTTTCACCTACTCACGCCGGCTTGTGCCTGCCCTCACAGTCGGGCATATTTGCGGAATGCACCACGTGCCACCATTGACCCTGTCCATTGACCGAGCAACCCAACGTTCCTACCAGCTCCCTCCGCAGGAATGTGTTTTCAGAGATCACTCACAACAGCCCCTCCTAGTGGTAATGTCACGAGCCGCCACTGTTCCAAACCCTGTACAGTGGTACCTCGGAGATCGAACTTAATTCGTTCCAAAACCGTGTTCGAACACCGAATTGTTCGAACACCGAATCAATTTTTCCCATAAGAATTAATGGAAATAGCATTAATTGGTTCCCCACCCAAGGATGCTCCTATTATGGGCCATTTTTACACAAAGATTACAATACTAAAATACAGTACAGTACATAAAAGCATACAAAAAACACAGTTGTAATTTATAGAATAAATGAACATTGAACTTCACTTTACCTGTAGTAAGGAGGGTGGATGGCTTGAGTGGAAGGTGGGGAGGTGTCAGTGTTGCTTTGAAGGAGAGTCTCCCTCCATAAACACGTTGGGTAACTGCCCTTCTGGGGTTCTTTATTTTCTTTGCCTTTTTTCGAGCACTGTGATTCACTTGAGGGCCTTTTTACTAAAAACTGATCAAGAGAGGATTGTTTCTGCCTCCGTTTTAAGATGTTTCTGAAATTACTCAATGCATTATCATTATAAAAATCGCCCCCTCTGCTGGCTACTGCCTTATCTGAATATTTTTCTACTAAATTGTGTAACTCAGCCCATTTTGCCACCTTTGCAAAATGGCTTTCGTGTAGAGTTTTTAAAGTTCGAAATTACCTGTTGGTCCATGGGCTGGATGCGAGGAGTCGTATTGGGGGGCAGGAACTTTACAGTGATAAAGGACGAGAGCTACGCGTAAACTGGGTCATTCGCCTGTCTCTGTCACCCTGGCTACGCGTCTCGGCCCAATCAGGTTTTTCTAGTTGTTCGACCTCCGAATTTTTGTTCGATGTCCGGGGCAAAAAATGGTCGAAAATTTTGTTCGATCACCGAATTGTTCGAGTTCTGGGGCGTTCGATCTCCGAGGTACCACTGTATACCCGAATAAACGTAGAGAACACATTGGGTTGTTACCCAAGTCACGCTTGCACCAAGGCGAAGGTGTAAACTTTGCCCTCATATGGTAATGACAAAGTGTTATAAGTATGCAACGTGTTATAAGTATGCACAGGGTATGCACTTTAAAGGTAAGAGGACAAGAGGAAGTTTTGTTTATTTTGTAATTGGACGGAACTGGTTGACGCCTTAAGTTGGCTTCACTGCATTCACAAAGTCGTTGTTCAATAATGGAATGTTTTGTTCAGTTTCCCTTTTTTACATTCGACAAAGCATTTTTTGTTCATTGAGGGAAGTTTAGAACTCGTGTCACAGGCACGAACGCAGTCTAAGTGTTGAGTAATACAAGTTACGTCTTTAGGTTATCAATTATTTAGATTCTTGAGTGTTCAACCACGGCCTTGTAGTTTGTTTTGAAATGAAGTCAAATGGAATATCATCTGACGTTCCAGTTCCAAAATACAGTACTGTACCAAGTCTATGGTGGCTTTGAAGGATAACAAAAACAATCTAGAAATGCAGCTTTTCCAATCGTACAGCAATTTATAACCCTCCGTCAAGTTTCCTGTTAATACCACAGCACTGTATTTTTATGAAATAAATCAAGTTTATTTATATAATTACTACAATCCAATCCCGTACTTTTGACTGGGTCTGTCAAAACGCGTTTGCGGCAGAGGCAAAATATCACTGTATGCTTAAGCGTTGTACAACTACTTACAAGCCAGTTCGAGCAGTTAAAACGTATTCTAAACCGTATAATATTAAGTTACCTTTATCAATTTTAAGAGAAAAAGCCAGTCACACGCGAATTAACATATCCAATTGTTTCCCGTAAACTGGGTTGGGGCAATGCGTAGTCGGTGACATCGGACCGACATTTGGGGCTTTCCGAGTCCCGACTGCACACGGCTGTCGCCGGCCAATTCGACAGTAGGAACCGAAATTAAACGCGCGCTTTTTTACGTAACAGTTACATTACCAACCTGCATCCATTACCACTCATACTTCAAAATAACCAACACGGTGGAGAGGGGGAAGACTTAATCAGCAACTGATTCGATAAAAATGCCAAGACGAGACTTGGAAAAGGCACCGACTATTGCGACGTCATGGCGGGTGTCGCCGCTGTTGTTGTTGTTGTCGCAAGCAACAGCAGCTGATCGCCTGCGTGCGAAGGCCACCGACAATAACCAGACCAAGCGAACACTATCCCAGCGATTTAGAGTCTCATAGCGAGGCGTGCGTTGGTTTGGTTCGTTCCTT